AGAAGGGGGGGGGGGACTTTTCTTTCAAGAAGTCTTAGTTTTATAATTATAAATTAGTAACTCCGCTTTCTTTAAAAAAGAATTTTATGAAGGGTCCGTTAATACGATGAAACATTTTGTGAACGTTCGATTTCTAAAATAAAAATATTTTATGAAGGATCCGTTTTTACAATAAAATATTTTGTGAAGGATCTGTTTTTGAGGTGGTATATTTTATGATGGATCCGTTTGAACGATGAAGGGCCCCGTTAATTGACTCAAACTCCTCCAAAAGTGATCTCTGTTCAGGAAGGACATTAAATGTTTATCACGTGGAAAAGAAAACATATAAATGTTTAAAATAAGTATTTAAAAACTTTGTCAAGCAATTTACATAAAACAAATTTTATTTCAAAATATACAATTAAGTAAATATCGTTCATTAAAATAACTTGGTTTGTAAAAGATTTAATTTAATTTCCCTTAAATAATTGACATATTGATTCAATAGATTTGAATAGTAGGTAAGTAGGCACTTTATTTACGCGCACTAAAGCTGCACAATGGGCTATTGGCGACGGTGTTAAAAGTTTTGACCCTCTGCGATTCGAATTAACTTTATATGATTTATTGAAGGATGAATAAAGATTCTCCGCGTTATTAGTTGCATGTATTTTTTTAAAAAAAAATAATTATAGAGTATATTACATAAGAATACATTTTTAGTTGAAACGTTCTAGCATCGTTACAGACATCGTTCATTTTCGCCATATGCCATCAAATTAATTTATTGAAGCATTTTTAAGTCGCAAATAGAAATTTAATTTATGTAGTGAAAAAATGATTTGAAATTTTTTATTGTGTAAATTGACTTTCAAAAGATTGAAGTTATTTCGCCATAGACCAACTCTTAAGTATCTGTTTTATGATAATTATTTATTCTCATTTAGAGTATAATTTTCATTTACTCTCTATAAGGGTGAATATGATGCATAAAATGCTATATTCGATCAATATAATGCACTATATTTTAAATTTAAAAAAGTAGATTTTCGAGGAAAAACTCTTGAGGAAAAAGAAATCAAAATTAGAAAAAAAAAGAAAAATAATAGGGTAGAATATTTATTTCATTTTGTGTTTGATAATAAAATAACATCTTTAATTTAAATTTATTAAATATGTAATTGTTTAAATCTATTATTTTATTTTTAAAGTATATTTTTTGTGTTGTTAAAATTTAATATCTAAATTTTTTTTTGTTTCTTCATTGTAAGAAAAACAAACTTAATGTTAGAAACAAGAACTCTTTCTTCACTTCAATTCGCAAATCAATTTCATTGCACTTTAATTTAAAAACCAATTAAATTGAAACTTACACTTGCTCACGGACGGAATTCCTGTCGCCCAAAATCTGGTGCTCGGCTACAGAATATCCAAAATATGTTCCTTTAATCCCCAGTTTATAAACAGGTATCCTGGGTTCTAAATTAAATGCTTGTGAAACACAGAAAACAGCACATAAACAACAACACAGTTTTAACATGTTTTCTAACATCGTATGAGGGATCGCACCGTGAACATGCCGCGAGGCTACCATACTGTTTGTCAGCTACGCAACCAACGCATGTGGCAAGGTTTACAACAAAACTAAGGGTTGCAAAGTAAAGAACACTTTACTTTTTCTTTGGTTTGGCTGTGTGAGTTTCAGAAGACGCCAAATGGCGACTGGCCGGATGGAGGGAAGATTAAAAATTCTTCTCTTTATCTTGTAACCTTACGTCGCATTATAAAAGAGTCTTTAAAAGGAAGGTTAGTTAGCGCTTTGATTATTTTTTCTTCTTCTTTTGCCTTTTATCTCGAGGAAGTATGCAAATGTCCATGTTAGGCTAATCAAACGGAAATAAACTGATAGTGCTAACTGTGAAGTGAAATGAGAAAAAGAACAAAATATTTTGAGCAAACGATTCTATAATAAAATAAAAACCTTTAAAAAAAATTTCAAGTAGTTTTACAAAGAAATAAAATATTTTACATACATATTTTTATACTAAAAACGCAAGGCTGCTAAAAGATTGGAAATTTTTCGATGATGATAGAAATTTATACGAAAGTGATGCGCATTACGTTTCTTGTTTCAAGACTGACAAAAAAAAATTATTCTTTACTTTTATTCAACACGAGAATCAAAATTTTTAACATTTTTTATTTTATTTTATTTTGTTTCATTATATTTTGTTTGTTAGCTTGGGCAGGTAAATGATCCAAGTTTCGATTGGGGAACATTTTTGCGGGCACCATTTTTTAAACTATTGTAACTTGTGTTCAGTATCGTCTTTACGCATGGGCAATGCCTGTGGGCCCCAGGCACTCAGGGGGCTCTTGAAAATCTTACTTTTTATAAATTGTATGAGAGAAAACTAAGAATAAACAATATTATCTTTTATATTTTTAAAATAAATATATTCTACTGCATGAAATGTGCATTCATTTCGTTTTTCTATCAACAAATAGTGACTGATTATCATGCAAATTTCAATAATTTGAATACTTTACACCAAGAAAACTTAGAATGGCAACCGACAGATATTTTTCCCCCTTCCTATGAATTTTTCAACGAGTTTGCTCTTACTTTATTGTTCAATGTACTCCTGCAATGTCCAGTACTCCAGTAGATTAAATAAATGTGAGCAAGTTTTTTGTGAAGTCTTAACATCACTTATCACTAGAAATGCTTGACCACCACTAACTCTGTTCAGTATTTATAATTAGTTAAATAAAGTAATAGTTGAAAGAGTTTAGAATTACACAACACTATGGTGCAGCAACTTTTAAACTGGTTGTGACTGACAGTGGCGTAGTGAGCTTAACTCGCGCCCGGGGCACAATACCTTTTTAGCGCCCCCCCTACTCGAAAACCATATAATATTATACGTAAAATATACTCGCAAATCAATAAATATGTATATAATCATCTATAATTAGTTCAAAAGATACCTATTATTTATTTTATATATTTATAAAGAAATATTTTAAAAACACGCAGTTTTAAAACAATAAAAAGTAAATATTTATTATCTCTAAGGAGATACGTATTTTTAACAATAGTATGATTATAATACATTTATAAAACTAAATACTATGTTTAAAGTTTCCTTACTTTTGATGAAGCAAATTTATTAATAATATCATCAAAGGTGATCATTTCAAATTTTTCTCCTTCCACACTNCCACCAACTCTGTTCAGTATTTATAATTAGTTAAATAAAGTAATAATTGAAAGAGTTTAGAATTACACAACACTATGGTACAGCAACTTTTAAACTGGTTGTGACTGATGTACTTCGAAAGATGTTTTAATAACTGCTAAGTTCGACAAAATATTTCATACCATTTGAATTCTTTTTTTTATTTGATTTTTTTTCTATATATTTCAATAATTCAATTATTTTAATAAGCTTTCATGTTTTTGAAAATTATTTTATTATTAGAATATCAAAAAAAAATTTTTTTTTCAATTATGCATAGTTTAAAAATGCTTTACTTAATGTATGTTAAGTTTTTTAGTTTGATTTCAAACAACATGACATGTCATAGAGGACCAAAACATTTCTGTGACCGGGGACCCAACATGCCCAGTTGAAATTTGCATCCTCTAGCTAGTCGGAAAATGGTCGAAACTATGGTGGACAATATAGAGATAAATTTTGCTTTTAACAGATATGTGATCCCTTTAGTTTAACTACAAAAGAAAATCTGTCGTAAGTTTGCAGTCCTTTCCTGAACATTTCTGAAAAGATTAAAGCACTACAAAATTTGCATAAAATTGTAAAACTTATTAATCATAAGATAATTTTATGCAAAATATGATTTTTTTCCGGATTATTTATTAATATTTATTATTTAATTTATCAATGGTTAAAAAAAAAACTTTTACTGGTATGGTGTAAAAATTTTATTTAATTTTAAATTAAGTAATTTTAAATGACAAAATTTGAATAAAATCGGGTTTATACTTTGCTTTAAAAAAACTGCAATTTTGAATTTTCATTTCTAAGAAATAGTCAACCGATTCTGTTCACATTTTGGATTTTATTGCTTAAAATTTGTTAATAAAATGAAATAAAAATATGTGTGCCTCATACTTCAAACTTTTTTCTTGTATTATCAAATAGAATAATGAAACATACATGATTTTAAACTCCTGCTTATTACTTTCAATAGATAAGATTAAATATTTTCTGCCCTTTTTTAAAAAAAAGTTTTTCATCAATAAGCACCATTTTGCCCTGGAGGAGGATATATAAGTTTTTTCGTTTCCTTCCTTTTTTTTTAATATGTTAGACATGCATACTTATATGTGTCACTGTGAATTAACGAAATGGGTGGGTGTTAACTTCCACCGGTGAATGTTGACGTTAACATAGTGGCTTTGGTAAACGTCCGAAATAGATACTATGAGTAGCTAAGGGGCACTGCCCGGTATACATTTGCCCGGTATGCCCTACATCAATGTTTTTTTAAGGTTGAGTGCCGTTGCCCGGTATGCCCTACATTATTGTTTTTTAAGATTGAGTTCTACTGCCTGGTATGCTCTACATCAGTGTGTTTTTTTAAGGTCAACTGCCACTGCCCGGTATGAATTTAACCGGTACTCCGAAACACTGATGTTTCTCCTAATCTATTCCTCAGCAGATATTAAAATATCGCATAAATATAACAATGTCAACGAATAAATTATTACCAAATCAGATGTAACAAATATCTGACAAATAATTTCAGACATTCAAAGCGACCATGTGATTGTTGACATTCACCTGTGAAAGTCGACATTCTACGGATTTCGGTCATTGGTGACATATACATTAAATAAGAATAAGCTATATGCAGTAATATTGATTGTTACAACGGAATTTTAAAAAGAAATAGCTCTGTCTAAAGAGTATGACTAAAAGAGTTTTTTAGTAATTTTTCTGTCTTACGAATTGCATGAAATTATTGAGATGATTCTTTTCAAAATGTAGTTAAGCGGCTGGTTTTAATTGAAAATAACACGTAAGTTAATGAAGGAGATTTCCAGCTTCATTGTAAAATTATGTATGTATGGATTGTAAATGTACATCTATTTATTTGTTGCTCATTTTATGCACAGTGCGTAAAATAAAAAACGGACCACCCTGAAAAACTTATGATCAGACCTTCATATTCTAGGACTCAATCTTAATGGTTTGAAGTGGTAACCTCAAATATGCTAATTAATAAGTGCAGACTATATTTTAAGTTACGAAATCGGACACAAAAACATACTTTCTTCGAATAAACATACATTTTTTGCGCTGGCGTCGGATTTTCGACCCCCATAATTTGGGACACATGGTTCCAATTGTTTGGTCAGGTGAGCGTTCCAAAGTTTGAACCCCTTAATGTTAAGTTTACTTTTTGCGTATTTCTCGATTGAAAAAGTTTTAAACTCAATAATAAAATTCGTTTATTCAAAGATAATTCTATGCAATAAAATATCATTTAGTAAATATTTAATATTTTTTAATATTTTATTTAGGAATAGACGAAAAAATTTTAAATTGTAAGGTATACAATTTTTTTGCATCATTTTAAAGAGTGTAATTTTACATCTCAAAACACAAAATTTGAGTGAAATCGACTGAATAGTTTCTGAGAAATTGAATTTAAAAAAATATGACTTTTTCTAAATTGCACTGCCCTTTGTATTTTACAATAAATGAATTCTTTGCATCCCAAATAACACAAATATACGCGAAAAATAGTTTAATATCACTCGAATATTTCACTGTTCGTTTGAAATTATTGCGATTTGTGTTCCTTGCGCTGACTTATAATGTACAAAGAAATATCAACTTTTGTTTTTATTATACTTTCTGGTTGAATGAAAGAAGTATCATGAATTTCAAGCATTTGTTTTCTAAGCATTCCAAACATATTTAAGATTTTACGGACATAGAAAAATGTTCCTTATATTTAAATAATGAAGATGATTTAATGTATTCATTGTAAGAACACAGGCCGGGTTAGCCTGGTTGGCACTCTAGTTTAACTATTGTTCATGAGAACGGGAATTCGAATCCAGGCGGCCGAATACTTCCGGTGTAGTAAATGATGACTGAAGCACGTTAAATCTTTCTGGTCTCGAAGTTTTCCAATTTCTTATAACAAACTATACCTCAGGGGGTGCTGAATTGGAGATAGATCATTCTCTTGCTCAGGTAAAAATTACGATCTGTGCATAGTGAATGGATGTATGCAGAAATGAGTCCACCCTATAAACGAGAGTGGCGTATGGGTGTGACAGAAGTCGAATTATTGGTCAACAGATGGCGCCACTAGAAAACAAAAACAATCGCACTCTTTGCCTTAATGGCCAACGACAACAACAACACTGTAAGAACTCAATTAAACGTCATGCGAACAATAAGTAAAAAAAAAAGAGCAGCCTGAATAACTTAGGATCTAATATTCAGATTTTTACAGACTAAAGCTCAATCTTTTCAATTTAAAGGGGTGACCTCAAATATGCTAATTAATTATCGCAGACGGTATTTTAAGTTACAAAATTAGTCACAAAAACCTACTTTCTCTGAATATATATATTTTTCTACAGTTTTGGATTCCTGACCCTCAAACTATTAGGGGCAGCGGTA